AGGCAAGTTTAAAAAAAATTATTTGAACACTGTCGACTAGTAAAAAGTTGTGCAGCAGTTGCGATACCGTTATACTCATATCTAAGCGAAATTCTCCTGCTTATGTTAATTTTGAGTTTTTTACAACCCGATATTTGGCTATGAGGAGCCAAATCGGAGTAAATTTCGCGGCTGTTAGTTGGGGTTGCGATCATGTGGAGACCTTTTGTTGCACTTTCATATGTTATTATTCGTTTCTCAATTAATTATATCAATTTACAATAATAATGATAACCGCCAATTATGCATTTTGTGCTCATTATTTCGGGGGCTTCTTTTCTGGCTAATCGCTTGTGGCAGAAGATATAACCCTTTTTATTTTGGTCGAATCAGATTCACTGCCGCCGTCCATCAAAGCCGCATGTGATTAGGTATTGGGCTTTACATGATACCTTGCTTAACATCACAACCGGCTACTTATAAAGCCGGTCGTGCTTTATATACACCAATTAACTCATAACAAGCTTGCATAACTTTACCTCCGCATTTACTTGAGAGTTTCCTCACGAAGGGAGTTACCTTGGCTTTAAAATAAGACGTTCTTTACCGCTGCAAAAAAAAAAGACTTGTAGTGGTGAAGGAGGAGGCACAAAGAAACATGTACAAGTATAATGCATAGCCGGTGCAGTTATATCTTCTGCTTGCAAACTTTATTTACATGTAGCACCCTTTAAAGCGCTATGGCAGCATTTGTTTACCAATAGCGTCAGTTCCCCTTCACTCTACATCGCAGCATAGGCCGTCCTCTCCTTCGGTAGAGCGAATCTCTGGATTCTCTGCCTGTCTTGCTTTCGGAGGTTGCCTTTTCGGCGTCGTCTTCGGTTTTGACAAGTGAACCGGGATATTAGGGAAAATCCGGGGAAGCGCCCCTGGCCTAATTGCCCATCTTCCACGCGGAATCTGAACTGCGCTGCCGCAGATGACGTGCTCGTAACATGTGATGAGGTCCTGAGGTTCAAAATGTACATCGCAAATGTAGGTCTTCGTCGTCACCTTGAAATTTTTTCGAGGAATGGCAGCACCCCAAGCATTCAGCACTTTAGGGTCGTTCGGCGGTTTGAAGAAATGACGCGGAACGGCAGACTTCTCTTGCGAGCTGTATCCACTTAGACAGCCGGGCGCGCTGCAGGTCGGCATGGCAATAATGTGTTAGCCTCAGCCCACAAGACAATGGCACATGATGAACGCGTAAGGCACCACACTGCCGCACAACGGGAGACGAATGCACGGTAAACACCGCGACTCAACGCAACACGGCCAGCCGGTCGCACTCCGCCGATCTCAACGCGACACCAGCGCCGCTCCTTGGCTGGGATGCGAAATGTGGCCGCCTCCGGCACGGTGTTTTCTAACTGACCTAACCTAAAAACGTTGGCTGGTACGGCCCGGCGTAGCCCGGTGCCGTGTTGAGTGATGGATGGATCGATGAATGGATGTGGCTGTACCCTTTAGATCGGGCGGCGGCTAACGCCACCTAGCCGTAATACTTAGTGAACTAACCATAAGCAGTAGAGAACTACCCCGAGTATTATCATAGATCCTTTCTTTGGCAATTTCCTGCTTAAAAGTTCGATACATCTCTAGTGCGGGCTTCTTAATCATGCCAATTCTTCACGTGTCAGTCTCCGTTTTCTTCACTTTCTTCTTAACCGATAGTTCTCTTTGGTTTGGCCACCTTCTCTTTTCAACGTATTTGCCAGCCCATTTACTGGTTCACTTCCTCCATTTTGTATCGACATTCTTCATGTACAAGTAGCTCAAAACCTTCCTAGCCCAACGCTCCTCTCCCATTTCTCTCAATCGCTTCTCAAAGTTTATCTTCCTGCTACCTTCCCTGCCCTCAAATGATGTCCATCTGTCAAGGGTCCCGTTAATTAGGGGGGCGATCGCCGGGCTAATTCCAAGGGCCGAAGTATCGGCCCCCGAACCGCACCACGAAAGCGTGGACAATTTAGAAGTGGTCCTGTTTGGCGCGCCAGCGGACGCCGGCTGTGGCCCAAAGAACAAGTCAGAGCCGAGAGTTGATAAACAAAACAAAATTATATTCTCCATTATAGCAAATCAAAACGATACACAAGTATGCACACTCGACAATAGTTGAATACAAAATGTCACCAATCAAACAACGTACTACACAGTACAATCAGCCACACTCGAAACACGGACACAGACAACAATATGCACTACAATGCAGTCGCATGCATCGAACAACCAAGACACTTAAATACTAAAGAGTTAGAAAACTTATTCAGTCCAAAGTTCTTGGAACAAGAGTCTGAATGATACTCTTCCGAGAATCACTCACTCAAAGTCCAGCGTTGTTGTCGTTCTGCTGCCCCCGATGTTTCTCTTCCAGGAAACCTCGCGTCTTCATTTGGCCGCTCTCCAGGCTCAAAACTTCTTCGCCGGTAACACGTCGGCTTCCCACACGCCGCGGTTGCCACGCGTCTTCGCTCGCTAGCGGTAGACACACACTCTTGCCTGTAGCTCGAGTTTTCACCCCTCAGGTGGAAATCCTCTTCTTCTCCTCCTTTGCCACTGAAGACAAAAGGCTTCGCCGACAAGGCGGAACACCCTACGCACTCTGGCGCATACTTTCTTCTTCTCCTGCTTTTTCATTGAGGACAGATCCTTCGCCGACTACACGGCGGAACAACCTACGTGCTCGGGCGCATACTTTCTTCTCCTACTTTGTCACTAAGGACAAAACCTTCAGCGACAGACGCTGCGGAATAACCCACCACACACTGGCGCTAACTTCCTTCTTCTGATCTCCCATTTTTGCTGCTCGGTTAAATACCCTCCGCGCAAGATTCCAGAAAATTCTCATTTCGTCGGCGCAATACGCAGCGAAGGCTGGGGAAAGCGCAAAACGGTTCGAGGACCGTCCGCGACAGATCACGCAACCCTGCATCACCACGCCCCTTTCCATCGAGAAATTTCCAGGGCTTGCTCGGCCGCCGATGCGAGGAGGTTCGTCGGCAAACCTACGCTTCCGAGGGAGAGAGACGCGCGCGCGCCCGGGGAGTCTTTGAATGTTTGTTTTCTTTTTTTATCGGTGATTTCGAGGCATCTCTCCGGCGCTTAGTTGCGAGAATTTGGCGGCGCGCCCTTTTTGAGCGCTCGTTTTGTGACACCATCCCATATCACCTTGTAATCCCTGATTTGGTGTATTCCCGTGAGATTCTAAAGCAAGCCTACCTATTCCACGTTGCTTAATTACTAATCTTGCTTGAACTTGTGATCTCATGCACAAGACCGCATTGCCGAAAGTCAGCCCAGAAACCATGTCCCCTTTCCATATTCCTCTCAGAACATCATACCTATTGTAATTCCACAGTGCCCTATTTTTCATCACTGCTGCATTCCTGTTACCTTTAGTCGTCACGTATATTTCGTGTTCCCTTAGGTACTCGTTCCTATTGCTTATCCATACGCACAGATATTTGTATTTATCTGTATCTGTTATCTCTAGCGTGACCTCCTGTATTCTCAGCTCACTACCTTCGTTATCATTAAAAATCATGACTGCTGATTTTTCCTTACTGAATCTAAAATCTAACCTATCTCCCTCATAACCCCAGATGTCCATCAATCTCTGCAAATTTTCCTTGTTGCGGGCATTAGCACTATATCATCTGCGTACATTATTGCTGATAGTGCCTGATCAATGAGTTTTCCTTGTTTGACTAAAGAGAGGTTGAAGCCAAGTCCACTTCCCTCGAATTTGGCCTCTAATCCTTGTAGGTACATCATGCATAACAAGGGTGACAGTGGACACCCCTGCCTAAGTCCCCGTTTCTTCTCTGTGGGTTTGGACACCTCTTTTTCCCACTTTGTAACTACCTTGTTACTTTTGTAGATTTCCTTTGAAAGATTGGTGACTCCGTCTTCCACACCCAGTGTGTCTATTATTCCCCGCAAGTCCTCTTGAACCATGCTATCGTACGCTCTCTTGATATCCAAAAATGCTAAACGCAGGGGCATGAGTTCCTTTTCTGCTATTTCGATGCACTGCGTCAGTGAGAACAGATTGTCTTCCAACCTCCTGTGTTTCATAAACCCATTCTGCAGTTCCCCCAGCACCCCTCATCTTCTCTCCATGCCTGCAGTCTTTCCTTTATAATCTGCATCGCCAGCCTGTAGACCACTGATGTCACTCTTATAGGACGGTAGTTGTTTATGTCATCTTTGTCCGCCTTTCCTTCATAGATCATGCTCATCCTGCTCAGTTTCCAACCATCAGGGACTTCACCATCGATTATTGTTCTGCTCACTGTCTCTCTCAAAGTCTGTTTGGACTTCGGACCCAATGTCTTTATCAGCATAATTGGAATGCCATCTGGGCCTTTTGATATACTACTTGCAACCCTCTTCTCAGCCCTTTCCGACTCTCCTTGTGAAAATGGAGCCATTGTGCGACTTGATCTATCCCTGTCTATTGTGGTGCATAAGGCACTTTTTTGTTTAAAATTTTTTGTCACCCTTGTTCTTATATATTTAATAGCTTCGTCCCCTTCCAGCCTAGCACCTTGAGCTGTAGTTATAAACCTCTTCTCTAGGTTTGTTTCATTTCTTAGGGAGTTTAGATGGTTCCAAAATTTTGCAGCTGCCTTTCTGTCTTTTTTATGTACTTCTGCCAACCACTGAGCACCCTTTCTTCTAATCTTTTCATTGATCAGTGTGGTGTTTGCGAAAGACGTAAGAAGGCACCGGCAGCACCACCGTACAAAAAGACGTTTATTGTACGCAACACATCGAATATATACAAAAAGGACAGACGCGCCCCCTGGGGGTGAAAGAACACAAAGTAAAAACCGAAACTGAATATAAAATACTCCCTCCCTTATATGTAGTGATTAGTTGTTAGTAAGTGTTAGTAAGAAACCCCTATGCATGCACTGTACATTTTACACGCTGTATGCACATACATATTCACAATACATACACACTGTGCTATACACACAGGCAACTAGTTGGTCTGATAGTCCTTGAGCCAGACCGGTGGCCGGCGCTCTCGGGACGGCCGATGGGGATGCTGCATGGCCAGAGATGGTAATGAGCTTGTATAGCTCTGTAGTACGCCAGGAGACCGCGATTGCGGCCCAGGAAAAGGCGGCTGCAGCATGGCAGGCTCCTGTACAGGCAGCTGCGGATCAGGAGCAGGCGACTGCGGTACAGCAGACTGGAGTACGCCAGGAGGCGGCGGCTGCGACCCGGGAGAAGGCGGCAACGGCAGGGCAGGCTGCGGCACTTGAACCGGAAGCTGTGGCGCAGGTAGCTCCGAACGTTGGTATGGTTGAATCGTGCCCCTCTCAGGAACCCGGGAAAGCTTGGAGGCGTTCCATGTGCGGCCGTCTGCAAGTCGGAAAGAGGCAGGTCCCCTCCTCCCCAACACCTCAGTTGGCGAGGAAAAGGAGCGATCCCCTTGAAGCGAACGGTCGGCTTCTTGATACGAACGAAATCACCCACAGCTATCTTTGGCTGCTTAGCAGCTTTCCTGCGGTCCGTGTACTCCTTACTGCTTTGCTGTTGAAGCCGGACCCTTTGGCGCAGTCGCGCCAGTTCCTTTGCTGCGTCTTTTGCAAATGCTGGTGCCGAAAACCCCACAACATCCAATCTGGTTCGGGGCATTCGCCCATGCAGCAGAACTGCTGGGGCAACTCCAGCGGTAGCCTGTGGAGTAGAGCGGTAAATAGAGAGGTAGTCCGTAACTGCTTGTCGGATAGGTCTCCTTTCGAGGAGTGAAACCTGGATGAAGTTCTTCAGAGTTCGATTGAACCTCTCGACTTGCCCATTCGCCTGGGGGTAATATACAGACGAATGAGACAGCTTGATGGCTTGGTTTTGAAGAAAGGTTACAAATTCACGTGAAGTGAACTGCGGCCCATTGTCGCAAACGATCTCTTCCGGGTATCCTTCACGGGCAAAAACACTGGTTAAGAAGTCTTTCACGGTGCTTGTGGCCACTTCGCTGCAGAAATATATCTCTGGCCATTTGAAATGGTAATCGACCAGTGTTATAGCAAATTGGCTATTGTGAGGTGCATGTTCCAATGGGCCAACAATGTCTAGGCCCAGTTTCTGCCATGGCCTTTCAGGCCAGTCAATAGGCTGCAATGGCGCTGGCGATGTTTTGGCAGACTTATCTGCCTCCAGGCAGATGTGACAGTTTTTCACGGCAGATTCAGCTTGCGTGTTCATCTGTGGCCACCAGAATAGCTCACGAAGTCGCGCCTTTGTGCGCGTGATGCCCGGATGTGCCTCGAGGGCAACGGCGATGAACTGAGCCGTGAGTGAGGACGGAACAACGAGGCGTTCTGCGCGCAGAAGAAGGTCATCAACAACAGAAAGTTCTTCGCGCACAGAGTAGAAAGGTTTTGCCTCCTCTGGTATGGACTTTTGTGGTGGCCAAGAACCGAGCACGAACGACTTGACCATTTGCAGACAACCATCGTTGAGGACGGCTTGCTTGAATTCTTCCTTCGTTACGCAAGCCGACTCGACCGACGACACAATTTCTTCATCCTTGGCCAGCTGTGCCTGCGCGGCAGGAGCTGGCAGCCGAGAAAGAGCATCTGCCACCATGTTGGTGGACCCCTTGCGGTACTCGACAGTGAAATTGTAGCATAGGAGTGGCGCATTCCAGCGTGCAATTCTAAGTGGCCTTCTGCCACATCCTTGCGAAGACAGCAACGATACCAACGCCTGATGGTCCATTCGAATCTTGAAATGGCGACCCCAAAGGTAAGTGTGCCATCGTTCGCACGCCCAAATGCATGCCAACGCTTCGCGTTCGCCGACCGAGTACTTTCTTTTCGCTGGTGACTAGGTACGAGACGCGAAAGCCACTGTGTGGAGCTCATGGCCATTTTGTTGCTGCAGAACGGCTCCCAGCCCACAGTCAGAAGCGTCGGTCGACACTATGACGGGAAGTGATGAATCGAACATGTGGAGAACTGTACTTAAAGAAAGCATTTCCTTGACCCTCCGGAAACTGCTGTCTGCTTCAGCTGACCAGATGAATGGCTCATTCTTGCGAAGCAGAACGCGCATAGGCTCGACCACCTGGGCCAAGCGGGGAACAAACTTGGAATATTATTCTACAAGACCCAGGAATGAACGGAGGGCCGCAACATCTGTTGGCACTGGAGTGTAAACTACCGAGTCTACTTTCTCTGGAAGCGACGAGATACCTTGTGCAGTGACCTTATGCCCAAGGAAAGAAAGTTCTGGAACGTCGAAGAGGCATTTGTCGTTCAATTTCAGGCCTGCGTACTTGACTTTCTGCAAGACCTTTGTTAGGTTCAACAAATGTTCTTCTGCACTGAGACTATCACGTCATCAATGTAGAACAACACACCAGGGCAGCCATCCAGAGTTGTGGCCATCATCTTCTGAAATGTCGCTGGGGCAGAAGCTAACCCAAAGCAAACTCTCTTGAACCGAAAAAGTCCTTCATGCGTGATGAAGGCTGTCAGGTCCCTGCTGTCAGGGTGCAAAAGAACCTGATGGTAGGCAGAAGCCAAGTCAAGTTTTGAGAAGTGTGTCGCGCCTACCAAGGTATGAAGGAGTTCCTCTGTATGAGCCAACGGGAAGCTCTCTGGTACAATAGCCTTGTTAGGCTCCCGGAGGTCAGCACAAATTCTGATGGTGCCGTCTTTCTTGTCAACGACAACAATGGGCGAAACCCATTCAGAAACATCGATGCGTTCGATGATGTCAAGGCGCAGCAACCTGTGAAGTTCTATTGACACTGGTTCCCAAAGTGAATATGGAAGATGGCGCAACTTCGAAGATACAGGCTGCACACCTTGCCGAATATTGACACGATGCGTGAACCGCTTAGCAAGACCCAACTCGGGACTGAAAAGTGAACCGAAGTCGTGTTCCAAGGCTGGCAAAAGGTTTGCTTGCCTGGGTTGCTCTATTGACTGCATCGGAATGTGACAAGGTGTCGGGTCATTAACACGCGGCGGCGGGGCAACGGACGTGTGCAGGCACTCAAGAGTGGAGCCCTGTATTCGAAGATTTAGGGCCTTGATGCCGTTAAGGCCAATCAGACAAGTTCCTTGGCGAACGATGTAGAAAAGAAGTGGTGCAGAGCGCCCTTTAAACTGAACGTCTGCCTGGAAACAGCCTAGCACGGAAATTGGGCGCTTCTAATAGTCAAACAAAGTCACATGCGGAGCTGGGAGGAGCAAATCGCTTTGAAAATGTTGGTGAAATTCTTGCTCTAATAGAATTGAAGCATACGACTCTGAGTCAACAAGGGATGACAACTTGACGTCCGCTACGCGTACTTTTATGTAAATTGCACTGCGAGCGGGATGCTGCACAGTCAAAACTTGCTCAGAACTTCCCCCTGACAAAGCATCGTCATCGATGCCAACTTCACGAATCCTGCCTTGCATTTGACGCTTGCGGTTGTATACTTTCTGAAAGTGGCCCTTGATACCGCAAAACAAACACTTCTTTCCCTGCGCAGGGCACTGTGACGCTGATGAGCGGTGATTCCGCGAGCCGCATCGGAAACAGTGTGGTGAAACGGACCGGCTATCTCTGTCTCGCCGATGGGGGCGGGGCCTCTGCAGCGCACGCGAACCGGTAGCGCTTGGAGAGTTTTGCTGAAAATGCGCTTTTGGCTGGAAATTGAATTTTCGCGAAGAATGCGAATACTGGGAACGACGCCGTACAGAAACAGGCTCGACTGAAGCAAAAAATTCCTTCAGCTCTTCAGCTGCTTGCTCAAACTGAAGAGCGATCCGCACTGCGCTCTCGAACGAAAGGGAGGAACCCTCGAGCAGCAACCGTTCACGTACTCGGTTGGAAACAACGCCGGCAACAAATCGGTCCCGCCGAGCATCATCTTGTGAAGCGAACGAACAGCGCGAAACGAGCTCTCGTAAAGCAGCAACAAAGTCATGAACGGACTCGCCTGCGTGTTGGCTGCGGCAGTGGAAACGATGACGCTCGACGACGACGTTACACGACGTGAAAAACTGCTGCCGTAAGGCGATGAGTGCAGCCTCGTACTCGTCAGTAGCGGCCGCGGGAGGCTTCTCTTGTACTTCCGGTGCTGCGGCGCTTGCTGGTGCTGCGGCATTTGACCCTGCAGGTAAAGTCCGGTAAACACGCTGCCCTTCCGCCCCCAAACAATGCAGAAGAATGGCCTTGCGTCGCGCTGGTGGGAACTCAGCTGCTCCGGACGCTAGAAGGTGGACTGTTAAAGTCTGCGCCAACTCCTCCCATGGAAGTGACGGCCGGCCGGGCGTCGGGAGGAACGGCGGCGGCGGAGCAGGGCCGGAGAAACTCATGGCGGGGCGGACCCGGACGACACTCGATGCTGAAGGTAGCTTGACGTGTTTATCCCATTCTCGTCGCCAATGTGGTGTTTGCGAAAGCCGTAAGAAGCACCAGCAGCACCACCGTACAGAAAGACGTTTATTGTACGCAACACATCGAATATATACATACAGGACAGACGCGCCCCCTGGGGGTGAAAGAACACAAAGCAAAAACCGAAACTTAATATAAAAATCAGGAGGGATGCTTCCCTTCTAGAGCTCAGGAAGATTTTCCATTTTCTTTCAACATCATCTCTCGGTTCACCCCGTTGCTTAGCATGTCTGTGATCCCTAGAGGCTTCCTGACGTTTTGCTATGGCTCTCTTAACTTCCTCATCCCACCAACTCTTGAGCTTGTGTCTTCTTTTCTGGGGTGACTTGTCACGTGCCTTAGCAAGCTCTAGCCCAAACAGTCTAATTAGATTTGTGTATGTCCACACAGTTTTATTACCCTCAGTGATTATACTTTCTCAATTTGTTTAGTAGCAATTTCTATATTTGCCTTTCTGAATGAACAATTTCCTGTAGTTGCTCATCTTGTCTCCTTGCCACTTTCGCTGCTCTTCCAAAACTTTGCTTTATACGTTTGTGATCACTACCCAGAGTACCGGAGCCACCTTCATCTATGTGCATTCCCCTGAGCTTATCATACATCCTATGTTACATCAGTGCGTAATCTATCGTTGACTCCAGCCTTCCTACCTCCGATGTTATTTGCCCTTCACACTTCTCGGTACTGTTGCAAATGATCAAATCATGCCTTTCACACATATTCACTATCATTTTGCCTGTTGAGTCAGTATACCCATCTATATCTTCTATGTGCGCATTCATATCTCCTAGTATGATTTTCTCGCACTCTCCTCCTAACTCCTGAATGTCATTTGATATACACTCTATCATTACCTGGTTTTCCTCTCTGGCCTTCGCTGCCGTCCACGTACACACGAAACCACAAGTACACGAAAACAAGGAGTGTCATTTGCCCTGCCACTTTCCCTTTTAGCCATAAATGTTCCTTGCATCTCTGCTTGACTTTGCCAACCCATGCTCTTATGTAAAAATGCATCAATACCACCCCCATTTTCGCTGCCTTCTGTTCTATTGCAACATTCCCATACGTAGTCCGGATTGCAGGGTGGTTGCTCCAGGTCCCGAAGATGTGTCTCCAATACCCCATATACCATCAGCTCCTTTTGCCTCAACTGCTCTTCTATCTCTTCCCACTTTAACCTATTCCTGCCACTCTGCATGTTAATATAGCCAACGTCTGCTCGGCCCTTGGGCTTACGTCGATTTGTTCTCCCACGGACTTCGTGTGGCTTGAATATTTGTGCCCCTTTAAGTCCATCTTTCGCTACACTGTTGGCCTCAGAGCTCTCGGTCCCCCTAAAAAAGCTTTGGCTAGGCGACCCATTCTGTTACCGACCCTCCTGCCCGTCGCACCATTTTAGTGAATGCCATGCTGTACAAAGGGCCGAGCGCCGGGCTCGTACACGTCTTTATGGATGGATTGATGGATGAATGGATGGATGGATGGATGGATGGATGGATGGATGGATGGATGGATGGATGGATGGATGGATGGATGGATGGATGGATGGATGGATGGATATAGCTGTACCCTTTGTATCGGGCGGTGGCTAGTGCCACCAAGCCGTAATACTTAATGAAACAAAAACTAGATTTTTTCTCTTAAATAGTGAGGTTGAGGATTCGTACTTTGCAGTGAAGGGTTTAATTTTCACTCGTGCCTTGACTTTAGCCACCAATCAGATAACCTGCTTCTCGTTAATTCTACCCGCTTAAAGTCTATTTTGCCCTCACTGTCCCTAAACCCCAGTGCTTTGAAAAACTCTGCGCCATCATCCTGAACTATAGGGTGAAGCCCTTTACAGAACATTATCAAGTGTTCCCCAGTTTCTTTTTCCTCTCCACACGCACTGCATACCGTGTCTACCCCTTCGTATTTGGCCTGATATATCTTGGTTCGCAATACTCCCGTCCTGGCCTCAAACAGTATAGAACTACCCCGAGTATTATCATAGATCCTTTCCTTGGCAATTTCCTGCTTAAAAGTTCGATAGATCTATAGTGCGGATTTCTTAATCATGCCAATTATCCACATATCGGTCTCGGCTTCCTTCACCTTCTTCTTAACCGATAATTCTTTTTGGTTTGGCGCCCTGCTGTTTTCCAAGTATTTACCAGTCAATTTTCTGGTTCGCTTCCACCATTTTG